ATATATATATATATATATGTATATATATATATATCAATCAAGGCTGCCGCATAGCACGGTGAGCATTGAAACAGCTAAGTAAAAATAATAGAAAAAGTGCAGAAATATAGAGCAATGATGTTGAGATCCTTATCTGTTATATGACAAAGTGCTTCCGGCGGGAATTGAACCTGCGACCTCTCGCTGTCAAGACGACTGTCTTACCGCTAGTTCACGGAAGCCTTTTGTTATTTATTATGTATTCATAATAGTATTTACTCACGACATTTAGACCGTTTTCAATGTATGAATGTTTGCCATCATATTGTCGGTGGGTTTAAGGTAGCCATGCTGCATGTGTAATTCATACGTTTAGAAAACTATCATTTCATTGATAACGTGCTATCATAACATATTAATGCAGAGTTCTAATTTGTCTAAAATAACAATGGCTTAGAAAGACAGTTGTAGTTCTGAAGGATATGATTATACAGTATAGTTCTGTGCAATTGAATGTAGTGTACTATTACTAGGCTCAACGTGTTTATATTTAGGCAGTGTATAAGCAGACAGATCGCTTATTTGTGTACAAAGCATTTTTCGTAACGATTAGTGCGGCCACACTTCAACCCCAACCATAAGGATGGCCAAATTCGATTTATAGCCAGCAAAATGAACACTTTGTTTTATTATTTAATATAGGCCTATACAGCCATACAGTAAAACACACTAATTAGGGCACTATGATTATTTCACAGACTCTACCAACTAGTAATTTAGAATTATGCGTTTTTATGTATAATGGACTTTTATGGTATTTTATTTTAATGAAATATGAAATTGACGTTCTTCTTTATTCTGAAGAGTCTTCTTCCCCGGTCGAACACCTGCAGTAGACTACCTTCAAGCCATTGCGATATGTCTCTTCCGTCAACATCTGCGTAAATACCCTGTATAAGTTGTTATAGTTCGTATTGTGCTGTACTTGGGGATCATAATTACATAGACCATTACACTCTCCTGCATAATCAGTCAAAGACAATAAACTATAAGCAATGCGAATCTGACAATAAGATGCAATTCAGTGAATATGCTATTGTAATAAGATTGATGTGGTAAGAAGCTTGAAACTTTACATGATTTTAGGAATGTTTGCATATAATTAACAGGCCTAATACTATTAATTTTATTTTTATAGTACTTTTATAATTCATCAGTTTGACTGTTATAAGTTAAACAATTTAGGGCTTTTAACAGTGGCGGATTTAATGGGGCTTACCTGGCCCGGACCCCCTAAATTTGTCAACATTATAAAATGGAGAAAAAAAAATTAAATTATATTCGAATTTTATGTCTGTGAATACCATTTCCGGCCATCTAAAGGTGCCATAATCATAATTGTTTTTACCTCAGCCCCAACCATGTTGGGGCTGATGTGGTATAGACCTTACATCTGTGAAAGTCCCTCCCTGGGCCCCCTTTATTTCAAATTCCTGGATCTGTCTGATAGAATGTAAGTTATCAGTGATACTGATATTCTAATCCTTAAATTGTACCGGTATCGTATAATCAATATCAATTTAAGGACTCTTTTGTAGTGAAATGTCTAGTTTTTAACCAGGAACCTGGTTAACCTGTGTTTCATTGGAAATTTATATCTGCAATGATATTTTTAAATGAACTGTTCTTATTGCAGCTTTGAGGTCTTGTCAGATTCTATGACAAATAGTATTATCTTTAACATTTCTTCTTGTTTCCTTAATTTGAGGTACAGTCTCTATTTAAAGGGAATAGAGGTAATTGAGGTAATAGAATTGATAGTTGCGAAAACGATCATCGTGTTTATTCTTCAAATCACAAAGTTTCAGACTCATTCGATCATTGTATTTTTGCAAAATTAGGCCTCTGAATTGTTTGAATTCGGCAATGGAGTGCATAATGATGCCTACCTGTGTACAGTACGTCAAACAGGTTAATAATTGATTCGTTTCAATATCTTATTAAGCTACTCAGTCTGCTGAATATTCACTCAAGTTTACGAAATTTATTATTTTTATGTTATCTGTATACCATTGGTTTTTTTTTTTCATTAAAATCTCCGGTATTGTGGATCACGGTTGTTAATAACAAGATGATTGACCTACGAGTGGGAAGTTCTATTGTTTCCACCTTCTATATGTTTCATGTTTATTGTAACCGTCTCTACGGTCTATTATACGTCCCTTGTACACTATAACTGTCACTACTCAATTTAATCAATTTCTTCTATTGTTGAGTTTACTTGGTATCTCATTAAGGAACTAAACTTAAACCAATTATATTTCTTACTTGTATTAATGCTATACTGAGAAACTGAAGATGGTTGAATTATATGTTGAAGATTGACGTTTAGTCACATAAAGAGCATACGGTACTGTAGTCTTGTTTTCAAACATACGCCGGTTTACATGTGGGGTGGAGAAAAAAAAGGCAATCCTTTGCAGATAACAAAGGTTTAAACGACTTGCGGAACATCGAGTAAATATTAGGAGAGGGTGTTTTCTTCTAATGGCTGGTGAAAGTTTTATTATAATTACAATGTCTGTTTTCTGTCATATTTTCTGAAACCTCTTCTGTTTTGTCACCCTCCCATCTTTGACTTATGTATAATGTGTAATATACAGTGTAATATAATTCAAAATATGATTAAGATTAGATAGAAATTTATTCTCATAAATGAACACAAAATACAGCTGATGCTACTTATCCATATCTCATAGCTGTATTTATACCGTTGTGACAATAAGGTTTTATCGTATCGTATCGTATCAACATTCTGTATAAATGTTTTTTCCACTTAAAAAAAAAGAGCACTCTAAAATCTTAGGGGGCCAGGACTTCACCGACCCCTCTCTGGATCTGCCCCTGAACGAATCAGTCAATAATAAATATATGAATAATTGAATTGATGAATGAATGAATGAATGAATGAATGAATGAATGAATGAATGAATGAATGAATGAATGAATGATTGGATAGGTGAATGAATGGATAGGTGAATGAATTATTGGATAAGGGAATGCATGAATGGATTAATGATTGCATCCATGCATGAATGAATGATATGCGTGCACAAACGAACGAACAAACGAAAGAATTAATGATTTGAATGAATCCAAGAATAAATACCTGAATGAATTATAGGTTATATATGCCTATATACATTTTCTATCTAAATACCATCTACATAACACAACACAGCATCATTTATCTTTTTCAGACACCTGTTTGTATATTTCCAGCATGTGCATTATTATGTTGCCAGTATTTGCCTGCTGTTTTAATGTTTCATCTCTTAGAAATAATTTTGTGGTTTCGTTGAATGACAGTTTTAAATTTCATCCCCTGAAACATTGATTTACGATGGCACTTCTAAATGATATCTTTAAGGTATATTTGTTAGTAACATTGCAAAATATGCTGTTTGCCACATTCTCCAGATAAAACTTGATTAGAAACCTTAATACTTGGAAAAATTATCACACATTACCTCAATTAATATGTCAAATTAATCACGATTATGTAAAAGTCGATTTTGATGAGATGATAACGGTAGATGTAATGATTTTAGCAGTGAGTTGAACCGACCGTCGGTGAAGCATGCATTCTTGGTTTCAAGGAGTTATGTCTGACCTGCCATCTGCATCACAGCCACAAACATTGTATTTAATTTAAGGTGTAAATTGAACTAATTTAGGACACGAATGCATGTTTATATAAAATTCGATATACATTTACAAGAAGCTGAAAAAATGATCAATACTTCAACGTAAGACCCGATCGATTCCTGATACAATACCAACTCGCTGGCCGATAACGTGCTACAAAAGTTGTCATTAAAAATGCATGAAGTAAAGTACTAGAGACCGCTAGGCTACAGCGTCTTACACTATTTTTCACTTGTAGCCGGAATTTCAAAGAGTTCACAAGCAACGTCACCAGAGAATTACTAATTAATATCAGTTTCCAACATGAGCGCGCTATCTATCAAGTGTTTTTGCTGACGAAAATTACCGAAATGGTAAGCTATTTCCGGTTGTACATTTTGCTCTTTACGTTAGTAAAACTCTAGTTCAACTTGATGCTCTTTTGCATAACTGAATACAAGACGAAAAAATAGTGTAGTGTTGTTACAGAGCACGGAATAAACAATTCGTGATTTTCTGTAATAAAATGTAGTTGAACTTTTCGCAAGTATTATACATACCTGTATATACATACATTGACAAGTGTACATTTAGGCGTGTCATGGAGGTCCCTCAATAGGCTGGTGGCTAGATATGACATTTCTTTATGTTTAATAATTGCGATCATTTTCATTTACACCTTAAGGGAATACAGTAACAGTTCCCAGATTGTTGACGGGGTCCTAACAGATACGTTCTTGTATCATTAACCTTTTTACTCTATTGGAGTGTTCAGTGTAAACTTTAACTCAGTTTTACAATCTTGTAAGCTGTTAAGAATAAAAAACTAAAACCATCATTGTAACAACCACCTGTAACAAATGATTTACTTTTTGTTACTGGAGTATAAAAGAATAAAATGAATTTCTAAATGAAATGTGTGAAAATATACTACTAAATAGTAAAGTGGGTAATGTATTTATATATATATACTGTATATATATATATATATATATATATTTGTATATATATATATATATATATAAAGACCTATTATAATTATTATAATTTGAGAATATTAATATTAATTTTTCATTAATAATACCTTTCCAGTTAGTAGCTAAGTTTCATTTTGCAGAGACATAAAGATCAATTTCGCATATTGGTGCATTGACGTGCGGGTACATACACAGGCTAACAGACAAATCACATACATCAACACAGGCACTATTACACACAGTACGTCAACACATTATCAAATACAGAACAGTGCATTCAACCAAGACGGAGGAGAAAATGTATTTCTATTGTTGATACAAAAGCACCGACGAGCATAGTTGCCAGGTACTCATTATTATTTTATATGGGTCAATTAGAGAGTGGAAAATGATGCACATTAAGCATTATTTGCTAACGCGGATCCATGACCAGGGGGCAATATTGTTGTAAGAACTTTCTTTAGTAGTCAGAACGTGCTACCTAAGTAATTAAATATTTTTATTATTATTATCATTATTATATAAAATTTGTTCTTTTTAAATAAATACTGTATATATACATATATATATACATATATATATTATATATACATATATTATTATAACAATTACCTTTAAATGCTATATATATATACATTTTATTATATAATAATTGTTCTTTTTAAATAAATAGGCCTACTGTATATATATACACATATGTATATATATATATATTTATATTTATAATACAGCAATTACCTTTAAATACTATATATATATATATATACACACATAATAATATAAAATACATAAATATAACTGTTGTTTGTTGATAATGTCTCTACATTTTTATTATTAATATCATTATTATATACAATTTGTTCTTTTTAAATAAATACTCTATATATACATATATACATATATATATTATATATATTATTATAACAATTACCTTTAAATGCTATATATATACATTTTATTGTTTAATAATTGTTCTTTTTAAATAAATACTGTATATATACATATATATATATATTAATACAACAATTACATAAATATAACTGTTGTTTGTTGAGAATGTCTCTACATTTTTATTATTATTATCATTATTATATACAATTTGTTCTTTTTAAATAAATACTGTATATATATATATATATATATATATATATTATATATATGTATTATTATAACAATTACCTTTAAATGCTATATCAATTGTTCTTTTTAAATAAATACTGTATATATACATATATATATACATATATATA